CCGGTGGGCAGTGGGGCTTTGGCCCTGAGGCTCAGCTGGAAGCTGGGGAGCCAGGAGGGTGTGCGTGGGGTGCTGGGGACTGGCTGGGCTGACAGGGTGCTCCTCTCCATGCCAGCAAAGGCCACCTGAGCGCCATCCTGGCCATCAAGGGAAACCTCTCGAGCAGTGAAGCCAAGAGCATCCGGAACATCCTGGACATCAACATGGGCGTGCAGGAGCCCTCCCGGGCCCTGTTTTCACTGATAAAGGTTGGGTAGTTTTTCCTGCGCTCTGACCTGCTTGTGAGCACCCAGCAAGCAGGTCACCCACCCCACTTGGAGGCTGTCTAGATGCGCTGGCTCCAGCATCCCTCATGGACCTATTGCGTTCCCCTGCCGCTTCTGCCCAGCAGGGTCTGGGGCGGGCCCTGAACCTGGCAGAGCCCGGTGTGTGCGCGTCAGGTGGAACGAGAGTGCACCAAGGAGCTGTGTGGAAATGACCGCAGCTGCTGCACACAGCAGGGAGCTGGGGTCCTGGGCCACCCCTGCCCTCTCTAGTGTGGCTCCCAGGGTCCTCCTGATGGGTGGGGCTCGGTGCCCCTCTGGCTCACAGCCCCTCGAGCCAGTCCACCGTGAACTGGGTGCAGCAGGTCTGGCTGCAGACAGAACTGGAAGGGAGCTCAGCAGGTCTGGGACAGGGCGTGTGGCTAGTGTCAGCTGCCCTTGGGGCTCAGGCCCAGACCCCAACCCTCCTGCCTCTCCTGGGGCTTCCCCAAGAGGGTCCCGGGAGGCTCTGGCATCCACCACAGCCGGGCCTTGCAGATCCACCCTGTCCCTGCTCGGAGGCTCCAGGGGAGAGGCCTCCCTGCTGCTTCCGAGTTCGTCAGCCTCCGTTTGTTGCCTCTGGCTCTTCCTCCTTCAAAGCCAGGGCTGGCCCGCCATGCCCTTCCCACATCCTCCTGCCTCCACTCCCGGGGATCCTTGTGATGATGCTGAGCTCACCTGGAGACTCCCAATCTCCTCCCTGCTTTAGGTGGTGTGCATCGTTGGGGATCTTTATGCTGCTCACCCCAGCTCTGCTCAGCCTCTGCCCGGGCACAGGCCCCGTTCTGCCCCAGGGAAACAAATCCAGTTTCCATGCCAGGCCTCTGCTACCCGGAAAGCACTGGCCCTGCCTGGGCCTGACAGTGCCCGGATCCAGGCCAACCGAGGCCCCCTGTGCCTCAGGGCGTGCAGAGCTGGGGATCAGAGCCAGCTCTTTGGAGTGGTCCCCTTCTCCCAGGTCCTGCCTTACACAACCAGAGCCGAGCTGGCTGGTGGCGCACACCTGCAACCCCAGCTACTTGCACCCTAGTGAGACGCCGCCTCACAATTTTTTTAAAAGTGGGGTGCTGCTGGTATAGCTGAGTGGAATCCCACATGCTCTCGGCCCTGGCTCCGTCACCACTATTGCAAAGAAAGGAAATGTGGCTGGGAGCTAGCTGGCCCGTGTGAGGAACGCACTAAGGATTTTGTGTATTTGTAGGAGTTGCCTTCTATGATGTTGTTAATATTATTTTTTATTGTATGCTTTTGTATGTAAAATCTGGGTTTTTATAGTGTGATATAAAAAGCTGTTTTCAAACGTGACTGTGGAGTGGTTTCTTTTGGGAGCCAAAAACTTGAGGTGGGATGGGGTGCTCTTGGGGTTTGGACAAACTGTCACCAGTCTGCCCTCCTCAGCGCCTCCTGTGGTCCCAGAGGACACCCCTAGCCTCCTCCCATGAGCTGAGCACTCTGTGGGGCCATGGCCTGCCAGTTTCCTCATCTCTAAATAGGGGATCATGCTGGGCATGATGGTGGCACACACCCTGTAATCCCAGCACTCAGGAGGCTGAGGCAGGAGGATTGCCATGAGTTCAAGGCCAGCTTGGGCTGCAAGACCTTGTCTCAAAAAAATAAGAGAGCTGGGGGAATCATGACCCTTTGGGGTCTCCCTTAGTCCCTTTCACTGAGGATGAGGGGTGGAGGGAGGGAAGGTAGGGTGTGGGCTCCCAACCACCTCAACTGCACTCAGGCCCCACCGGACTCCATTTCCAGAACTGGCCTGGAAGCTGCACTGAACAAAGTGGCTCTTGGGGGACAAGGTGGTGCGGCCCGTGCACCCCAGTTCCGCCTGGGACCTGGGCCAGCAGAGTCCTGGGGAGGGCAGGACTGACACAAAGCCCTTGCACTACAGCTGGGAGGAGCCCCTCCGGGCCGGATGGGGGAGCTGAGCTGCCAGCGAGCCTTCTGCAGACCCCTGAGCAGCAGGCTCTGGTGTGGCCCTTGGCAGTGCTGGGCTGTTTCCCACTGGCTCCTGATGGAGATACAGTGCCCTTTTACCCCTGGGCAAGCACAAGAGCCCAGAGTCAGAGAGCAGAGGAAGCTTCGAGTCTGTGGGGTGGACACACACCACCTCCACCTGGCTGGTGGGTCCCAGAGGGTGACAATCCCCGCTGCTCCCACCCTGTCACCAGCCCGGATTTGCCCGGAGTGGTGAGACGAGAACAGCACCAGAGCCCACAGCCCTCATGTGAGGACAGCGTCAGCCCTCGTATGAGGACAGTGTCAGCCCCCAACCTGCCGGGGTGCCCGGAGGAGGAAGTGGATAGGCGCTGAAGCCCAAGTGCAGGAGGTGAGGGGTAAGGGCACCCATAGAGATGAGGGGGAAATCCAGCTGTGGCTCTGGGGCTTCCCTGAGATGGGACAGTTGGCTGAGGTTGCGGGAGGGTGCAGAGGCCCCAGGACCTGGGAGGTCAGGGTGTGGCAGAGGAGGGGCTGGGGCGGCCCGCCAGACTCGGGGCAGTGAGTGAGGTGGGCCAGGCCCGGGCTGCTTCCTTCTGTAAAGGGGTGGGGTGGGGGTGAAGCGTCCTGGGGACTCCACAAGGGGCAGGGGTTCCTGACGTGTTGGGGAGGCAGCCACCTGGCTCTCTGAAAGACCCCAGGGGAGCAGCGGTCTGTGACGTCTGGAATGAGGGAGGCCCAGGAGGAGGGAAGGAGGGACCCACCAGGGGCCTGGGAGGGTCCGGGAGGGGAGGGCGAGGCCCTGTGAGGCTGGTGGCCTGCGGGCACCTCGCCACACTGGGGTTAATTTCACACAGCAGGGCAGGGCTTGGCCACACGGACAGGCTGACCGAAGCCCCAGCAGTCCCAGCCCCTCGCCCAGTTTGTCGCTCTGGTGTTCTGACCTGCAGAAGGGCGCAGGTGCAGCTCTGTGCCTCCACTGTGAGAGCAGCACGTTGGGAACCCTGGACGCCCATCCGGAGAGCCGGGCAGGCAGATGCGAGGTCCTCTTGTCCTGGCTGGGAGAATTCAGAACGGACGCTGCTAAGGGGGGATGCACAGGCAGAATGGTGGGGCCCGACACTGCTCAAACAGATGAAAACAGAGACACACACAGGTATTTACCTGTGTGCACACACAAGCCACCTGCAAGAACACACCAAGATGGGCAACAGTGGTCATTTGTTGGGTGTCATTGTGGGGGTGTGTGCAACAGCGCAAGAGGGAAGTTGTTTGCATGGAGACAGTGTGGGAAGGAGGTATTTCTCTCTCCACACTCCCCATAATTGTTGACTGAGCCATGTGCATGTGTGCAATTAGCTTTTTCCAATTTTTTTGTTTATTTGTTTGTTTGTTTTGCAATTAGCTTTTTGTTGTTGTTTTGGTTGAGACAGGGTCTCCCTGTGTAGCTCAGGCTGACCTTGAACTTGAAGTGATCTTCCTGCCTCTGCCTCCGAACACCGGGGTTACAGGCTGAACCACCAGGCTTACAATTAACATTTTATAACTGATACTTCACTGAGGAGATGGAAGCCACCGTTGCTGGAGGTTAGAAGGGGAGGAGATGAGATGCGGTATCTTGGGTGTGAAGGGTCTGTATGCCCCTCCATTTTTTTTGGTACCCGGGATCGAACTCAGGTCCTTGCGCTTGCACAGCAGGTGGCGAAACCACTGAGCTAAATCCCAGGCCCTGGATGGCCCTTTTGTTTTTGCCTGGGGCGGAACCCAGAGCCACGCACATGCCAGGCACATGCCAGGCACACACTCAGCACAGAGCCGGGTCCCCGGGCTGAGATTTCTGTGGTCAGACTGGGTGCTTAGGTACAGCTGGGAGTCAGGAGTCACTTTATCAGGAGCCGGGTCCTTGTCAGCCGAGGCAGCAGGGTGGGGCAGGGGTAGGGGCTGGGCCACAGGGAGGGGGAGGCTGGGAAGAAGCAGGAGTGGAGGACCGGGGTCCCAGGGTGAGCGGAAGAGAATGCAGGGGTGCAGCCCCAGGACAGGGGAGCAGGGGACAGGAAGCTCGGGTCACGAGGAGACCCTTGTCCTGAGGTCATGGAGGTGGTGTGGTTTTGGGGGGATGCAGCTGAGGGGGGCTTGGGACTGTGGCAGGCCTCATCAGGGGGCTGAGAGCTCAGGGAACTTGGACATGGCCTCAGGGTGCTGAAGGACAGTGGCCAGGGAGGGGCGGGAATGCAGGCAGGAGCTGAGGCCCCTGAGAGTTCAGGCAGACGCAGGGTGGAGTCAGGAAAAGGGGGCTAGCTGGGAGGTGACAGGGCCCCACCAGTGTGGGTGGGCACTGACCTGAAAAGGTCTCAGCCTCAGCCAGGCGTGATGTGCACACCTGTAATCCCAGCACTGGGAGGCTGAGACAGGAGGATTGCAACTTCTGCCCTCGCTTGGACAACTTAGCAACTTAGTTTGAGACCCTGCCTCAAAATAAAAAAATGTTTAAAAAGGGCTGGAGATATAGCTCAGTGCAAAGGCCCTGGGTTCAATTCCCAGTACCCCCCCACCCCCGCCAAAAAAACACCAGAAGCCTCAGGTATGTGCGCCTCAGAATGCACAGGGCCACCTAAGGGAGTCCAGGGAGAGGAGACCAGGTCACGTGCAGGTGACCAGTCAGCAATGCAGGCAGAAGAAAACCCCCCTCCTCCAGTCTCCAGAAGGACCCGAGTGATGCAACTCAGGAAGCGGCCACAGAAGACCCTAATCGGGTGAAGGCCCCTGCTCCAGCTGCAACAGCCTCGGCCATGACTGAGATGCCGCTGAGGCATGGGCTTGCTCAAGCTGGGCCCTGCACGTGGCCAGGCAAGCCCGGTGCTTGCGGCTCTCCACACGCGAACATGGTCAGCAGGGACATCCAGCCCCTGCTCAGGAGACCCAACAGCCTGTGATCATTGGGAAGAAGAAAGGAGAAAAGGTGTATGGAGGGAGAGATTCCTGCTCCGCCCTGCAGGGCCCGCGGAGCCATAGCCATGAGGCCTTCTTAGGCCAGTCCTCAAAAGGTGCCCGGCTGCATGCGTGGTGGGTAAGCGTGTTCCCCGAGGTGCAGCCCCGGACTCTGGGTTAGCAGCCTGTGCCATTAACTCTGCCCGAGACAGACGGCTGGGTGGAAGAAGCATTCTTGTCTATTTTGCCCAGCTGTAGAATTTCGTTTATTTTCTTTTTCAGTGCCTAGATTAACTCCCCATCATCTACATATTCCTCATTTTCACTACTTGGCTTTGATTGGCCTAAAATGTGCCTGGGACGTTCTTGGTGGAACAAACTCAGTAACTTCTGTAGTCCTAGAAGATTTCCCAGCAGAGCCAGAGTCTGTATTATCTCACAGCAGTATGCAGAGGCAGGGTGGTCTCTGCTAAGCTCAGAGGCTGGGGCTAAGGGGAGAGGACAATGCCAGCTGTAGAACTTGGGCTCCTGTTTTCCTAATCCAACTGTCCGTGCCTTTGACCTATCGGGAAGCAGGGCCGGGAAGTTAAGAATCATTTGCTTATTCCAGAATGCAGGTACCTGGATGGTCGCCTGGACACAGAGAATCAGACAACTCCGTGTTACACCGTGTTAGTGCTCTGACTTCCTCCCGCATTGTTGCTACCCTGTCATCCTCACCAATTACCCAGCGCACACGCAGAGCTTGCTGTGAAAATGGCTCCGGGAATATCCAGACTTGGGTCCCGACAAGGGCACTGAGATCCAGACGTCAGCAGGGGCCAGGAAGCTGACCTCAAGTCACAGTAGAAGAGGGAAAGACACACAGGGTCCAGCACATTTGTCCCCGCTGCAGCTGCAACCCTGCAGCCTAAGATGAAGCCACATTCTCCTTCATTAGGTCCTGGTTTAATTTCCTCACCTTTAAAATGAGAAGGTTAAATTTATCTTGGTTTTAATTTTATGATTCTCTGGATGTAAATGCATTGAAGCCTCAATATCTCTGAATTCACAAGCCTGTCTGTTGCTTCATTCTAAACTTGATTGGTCTACAAGGTACACATCTACAAGGTACAGATCTACAAGGTATGCATCTACAAGGTATGCAGCACTGGGGTCACTTGTGTGCCAGACAAGACCTTCTGCCCCAAGCTACGCTCCAGCTGCCAAATTCCCATCTTAATGAGTGACACATGTTCACTTCGAACCCTTCTTTCTGAATAACTGATAACTTTCTATAAAGCAAGTGGAATTCCATAGGAACTAGGGGACAAAGATTACAGAGGACAATAGGGGTTAGAACGCCAGCTAAATGAGGCTGGGAGAGGGAGAGGAGGGGAGATATAGACAGGAATGAAGATGCATTGTGCACGTGTGCCAGTGCAGCACAAGGAATG